TGGGGAAACATTTTTAGCTGCCAAATTGCCATTTCTTTTGAACCATCTGTATTGTACTTCATTTTTCTGACCCTTATCAATGGTAGCCCACGATAATGAACATGAAATTATAGACCAGAGTTGGCTACCACGGGCATTCACACCAGATTTTAACCTGAGTTCAGGACTGTTAAAACTACCGAAGCGTCTAACTACACGACGAACAATAACGCGCATCAGTTCTTGCCTTTCATCATTTTAATCGTAGTGTCGTATTGACACTTACTAGATGGGACGTAGACAACCCACAACTTATTTTAGGTAGTATTTATATTTTGCATCTGTTTATTCACATTTTATCTTGTTCCCAACTTGTTGTCTGACAGTTTGCTCAAAAGCGTCTTTACTTCCTAGCATAAATGCACTTACTCCATTGATTACCACTCTGAAAACACGCCGTTATTATTCACCTCTTCGCGCGATTTCGTTCGCTGATGCTTATTTATTCAGACTGCAATGGGTTTGTCCAGTAAATTCATAACTTAAACATGTGTTCAGACTATTCACTTAACATTATATTTTCTGGAAGCATCGTCTTACATATAACACTCGTGGACTTCTCGAAAACCCATCATCTTATGACATATTATTGATCTTACATCTCATATCATTTTTCTACATAACCATTTCGCTATTATTTTCTAAAATTTAATTCCGCCTCATCAAAAGATTCTCCATAAACTCTACGTGAGATAATTCATTAAGTACCCTGTAAATATACATGGAGATCACATTGATAGGGAGACCATTATCTTTAGCCATTGCAGACCTAGGATGAGGCGACAGGTTTTATACAAAGGTAAAGGTCAGTAACTGAACTGTGATGCTACGGCGTTGGCTGGTTAAAGTACTACACACTGTACATATTTCATTCAAGCCCTTTCCTGATAGCTCTGCAATGTAATCTGATGCTATTGGACCCATATTTCCCTAGATATCTAGTTAATCAGAGGACTCTAAGATAGTTGTTACCATGTTCGCCATACCCAAAATAAGCAGCTAAGCACCTACTTTATTTATAAAATTGCAATTCTACAATAAGGTCATCCGTTACCTCTTCATCGACTGAGATGGTTGGGCCACGTGTTACGTATGCCTGAACACCGATTACCATGACGTGCAATGCTATCCGGTATTGGAAATGGTTGGAAGAAAGTTAGGGGCGGCCAAACCAAAACGCGACATCAGTGCTTGAAGTCACTAACTTCTAGTCTGAGCCATGTTGGTAGATACAGACTACTTGGTTGGGGTCCGCGTGACTATCGTAACCAATGGTTAGAGACTCTTGGTGACATGGCTCAGAATCGATCACAATGGCGTCGGTGTATACACACCCTGTCTTCCCTTAAACTAAGAGATTAAAATCGCTTAATATCTTTCTTTCTACGAACCAATTCTTTCTTCATGTACTATATCTCTCTATATGCAATCTTTCTCTTATATATTACCACCTTTTACCTAACCACTGTTATGAATCCGGTTTTCATCTTGTTGTGCTGATGCGGTATGGCAACCTGGACCGATGCACACATGTGCCTGGTCCTACGTTGTAGCTGACTGACTGACTGTTACCTCTCAACCATTTAACTGGGGATGCCACAATCTTTTCACACACCTTTGGAAGAAGAGCTTACTATTCGTGGAAAAACACAACCCCTTGACTGTTTTCTGCCGTTTACGTCGATACTATAATAACTAGCGTTGTCATACGCCTACACGATTAACTCTTCTTTCGACGGATAAATCATTACAACCTGTTATTTAATCATACACACGTGCGGCCATGAGCATGCGTGTATAATCTTAAGTGTATGCATATATGTTTCTTTAATGCTCATAAATTGGCATCACATTTAAATTAAATGGAGTTAGCACAATACCTTTCTATGCTGCGCTTCCGGTCTTGCTGTCTGACTGAAATACACCCGCTCCCCAACTTCGTATTTGGTTTTATAGCAACGTTGTTGGCTGAACGGAATTAACCTTAGCATAATGTGTGGAATGAAACGTTAGATTGTTATGGCGTTCAATGAACATTATTCATCATGGAGTCAGATAGCGGACACCACATTAGCTCTTGTATCTATGGCTGGTAGTGTTTTGCATAACAGAAAATTTGAACGTCGACAAAGACTCGACAGATATTTTTCAAACAGATCACATCGCATAATGAAAATTTATTAAAGGATCTAATTGTTTTAAACAATGACTTCATTTGTATGATGATGATAAATATATAAATAAAAAAATAAATATTAAACAAAATATCTATTTGATTGGAGATTTGGGGATAAATCCTATGTACATGCTTTCAATTCCAATATATCAATTAGTTTAGTATATATCTATTAAAACAACTAATTCCTTTATTAAACAGCATTTGATTTCAGAGTAGTAAGGTAAAAAACAAAAAATGATGATGATTATGATAAACTTAAAATGATTCAAATGATTTATAGCTCACCAAATAGATGCTTTCCGTAGTATCGCGTCCTCTCAACTTGACAGTCTAATTGTGAAGCTTTCATTGTTGTTCTAGATAGAAATCAACCATTCTCACTTTCAAATATTAGTAATAAAGTTGGTAAAATTCAAAGCTTCATATATCAGTAGTAATTTTTGATCGTTACATATGGAATATGGTACAAAAACACTTGATTAACACAAACCTAAATATACAATTGAATAAGTCTCGATCAATGATAAGATTAATTTCAGTGCAGATTTCCAAACAAAGAATTTCCCTACATAATCAATATGCATTATGTAACTAAAGTAGGACATACTAATTAAAAAGCATATATATATATCACAGTGATTCAACGCTTTGACATCATTTTCTACTATAAGTTTTAATGACACCAACACTACAAGTTGTACATATAAAATATCCCGTTTACATTTTCCTCCGCCTGAAGCTCTTCTAGAGTTACTGGCGGTCCCAAGCCCGGATAAAGGAGGAGGGTTGGGCATGGGGTTAGCGTCCCCATCCCGTAGAAAACTAACTCGCTAAAAAAACGCTTACCAGAAAAAATAATTCAAACCATTTTAACTCTGCCCTGGGAGTTAGGTCTTCATTTAAAAGAATTATGACGCTTCATGGTAAAAGCCCAGTTCCTTCGGAAGCCACGAGGTCGATGCCCCTTCTAACAACTAGAGCAACAATTTTTATAGGTACATGGAACGTTCGAACAATGTGGGAAACCGGGAAGATCAGTCAAATAACAATGGAATTGAGGAGAAACAACTTAGCAGTACTGGAAATCAGCGAAACTCATTGAACCGAAGCTGGACAACAAAAGCTAAATACGGGAGAGATGCTGCTATACTCCAGCCAAGAAGAGGAAAATGCTCCACACACTCAGGGAGTCGCTCTTATGCTGTCCAAAGTAGCAAGAAATGCACTTGTATGATGGGAATCTCACGGATCCAGAATCATCAAAGCATCATTCAAAACAAAGGAGGGGATCACAATGAATATTATCCAATGTTATGCACCCACCATAGATAGCGACGACGACATTAAAGATCAATTCTACGAGCGGCTGCAGTCAATCACAGAAAAGTGCCCAAGAAACGATCTCACCATCCCGATGGGACATATAAATGCCAAAGTCGGAATAGACAACACCAGATATGAAGATATTATGTGACGACATGGACTGGGACAGAGAAACGAAAATGGAGAAAGATTTGCAAATCTATGGACATTCAACGAATTGGTCATAAGGGGGCACAATATTTCCATACAAGCGTATACACAAGGCTACATGGATCGCACAGCACCACAGTACAGGGAACGAGATAGATAATATTTGCATCAACAAAAATTTCTGAAGGACAATGGAAGATGTGAGAACCAGGAGAGGTGATGACGCAATCCTAGAGTTCCTTGGTGATTCCCTTTAATCACTTAATATTAGGATTTACTATGCAATGTGTTATTCTCTACCTCACTTATTTTAACCCACTCCGTTTTTAGTATTTTACTAATATTCATGCAACTATTCCTACCCTTTTATCTCCGAATTGAGGTTCACATTAAGTGTCAGACATACTAGAATATGTTGTCCACCTAGCACAAACATGCACTAGGTCACTTCACAGCATTACACTAGCTTACTGTGATGAAGTTAATGAGGTAAACGGCAAATGAGATGGCTGTAATGTTGATCACAATATAACAAGTAAAAATGTGTGGGTGACGTTCAAATACCCACAAAACAACAAGATAACAATAATAATTCTGATATGTGGTATTTAAAGTAAATTATGATTGGACAGACAGGCACTTAGCCTACTGACTATTCAATATGATTTTCTTTCCTCTAACTGAATTATACTCCGGACTCACTGAGTGACTCCTTGGATAAAGTATTATCCAGTGTTAATCTGACACTATTCTACGTCGCGAATACTGGATCTAACATAACGTGACTAGTTTTATTGTCGTATTAAGGTATTATCGTAGCATACTTGACAAAAATATTCTAAACCAACTGTGATACTGAATTCATATGAAGGTATCTGAAAGATATTTGCTGTTCGATGTCGTCAATTGTTCACATGACAAATGAAAAAACTGAAGATATCTTACGAAACAAACTTAACAAAAAAAATAAAACTAAGAGAGATTAATGGACCAAATACATAGCATTTAAAATTACTTTCTAAATCCATGACTGGGTTTACTTCAAGTTAGTTTTAAACAGGATGACCTAATTTATTTATTCATTTATTTCAACACAAATATTAGAACAAGGAGGAACCTAATATATATGGGCCATACAAGTCACAGAGCTTTCAGTGGAATATTATCAATATGAGTTGCCAAATAATTAAAAGTCCAAGAAACATGAAGAGTGATTTCAATGTGATGTGTATAATCAATATTTGATAAAAATGAGCGTAAAATACGATTTCATGATAGAATATAATTATAACCAACCAATAGAAATCACCTTCATGAGCAGACTTTACATGTTCGTTTAGATTGGATTTACAATTAAACTTTCTATCACATTGCTTACAAGTAAGTTTTATTCCTAATGAGAGAGAAAAAAACAAAACAATAATTAACAAAATATATACTTATACAAATTCGATATCAATATTCAGGGTAATTAGTTTTCATTAACTCAGGTGGTTGACACATGTATTATGTATGCTCGAAAGCTCCTACTTCGATGGACGATGTTGCACGGTGTAAAAGTAAGCTGAAAGATATGGCATGACACACGTAAATGAATCAGCCCATGAGGTCATTACCAAATGGATTTAGCCATGTACGTAGGTGTAGACTATTTGCTCGTGGTATGAAAGATTACCGAAACCAGTGGTTGCGCAGACATCGATTAGAATCGATCATAATGGCTTAAGTGTTTTTGCATTTCTTCTTAACCTTAGATTCTGAAGTCTTTAAATACTTTTTTTCTTCCATACCTAAAACTTTTCAACTATTATTATTTATCATTTTGACTACTACCACCATTACATTACAATTGGTCCAGATAGTCTTGTCGCGCAGCGCTAAAGTGGTCTGACAACTGAAACTCATGTATATAAGTAATACATTCCTAGCAGAGTATTAAAACTGACTACTAACGAATTGAAACATTACAAATCGAAGAAACATGTTAAAACAATTCAAATGAAAAGCATACACAAAATAACTTTTTTGATTAGAATGTATGAGGCATACCAGTTTCACAGTAGGACGTCTCTTTCAAAACCGAAACATACCTTTATGAATAGCTTTCACGTGGTTATTCACCATACATTTAGACGAAAACGTTTTACTACATTGATCACATGGATACTTTATTCCTAATGAAAAAAAACAAGTATGAATACTGATAAATTCTTACAAAACAAATTAACAAAGGAATAAATGTGGTTATGTACTAAGGGTTGGAAGTATACATATCATCCTAGATATACATAACCATTTCAAAAGAGAAAAGGATAAGAAAAAAAGAACAATCATTCTCTTAGAAGACCTTGAACTATAATTATGGTATGAACAGTGAAAACAATCACCGTGATGAATTGATTTTATGTGTCTAGTTAGTTGGGATTTCGTAGTGAAGTTCCTGTCCCATTCATCACATCAAAGATTAATATTTATGAGGACAACAACACAAAGATTTCTCAAAATATAATTAATCATTGAAGACAATAATACCAGTAAAAAGTAAAAGGTTTTTGGGACCTCATATTATGTGAACAAATCAAAAGATGTTAAGAGGTATTCATCAGCGACTAAACAGTCAAAAAACTTATTGTAGAGACTTAATGAGAAGGTATGTTGCACACAACATCATAATTACCACAATGCCCTCAAATGTCCTGGCACGACCGAGGGTGGGGAGAGTCCGCTCTCCCTCTCGAAATTCTCACATGGACACGCGTATACAGCTACTACCACGGGAGTCCTATTCACTGCCTTCTCGCGAACGGGTGTTGTTTACGAAATTGACAGGACGAACAGCGAATGCCTTTCGCTTTGACAGGGTAGGTGGATATGGAGGATCCACCGAGACGAGTTGGAAAACCTTGATTCCAAACGAATGGTACACATGGGCTGCAGGATCCTGAATGAACAAATGGCGTACGAACCAATCGTTGGTCACCGGCTACCATCGGACTGCATCTCCTCACGATGCTCCACTGCCTTGTGGATCAGACCTTTATGTTAAAGGCTCCAGGTGTGGCCCTCTTTTATTTATTATATTTGAACACATAAATATTGGTACAAAATGCACCAAATATATATGCCCCACGCAAAACAATGAGAATTTAAGGGGAAGGAAAAAAAGAGAGAATAATAACGAAGAGATTGATGTAAGGTGGTGTGATAATAATAATGGTAAAAATGGGGGAACTGAAAGGTACAATCAGAAGAAATCTCTCAGTTAAGGAAGACACAGCCACTTTTTTTCATGAAGAAAGTAAAAGAAGGTTACAGCAGGATCGCCACCGGCTTCTATTCTCAGCCATATCTGATAACGTCTCTAGCCACTGTGTAGCACCATCTCTCAGACCCCAACCAGGGAGTCGTGAAGGACCAACACAAGCCAGTCCTTTGCAGCTTTCTTTCATACCACGACACCATGTCATGCACTGACCACCTCTCCGTTTTCTCCAACCAGTCCGAGTCGGCAAACAATGCACGACGTGGAATTCTCTGGGACGACATTCGTAGAACATGTCCAAGCCACCGAAGTCGGTGTTTCAAGATGGTGACACCAATTGCATTATCATCTCTGTACCCCAACACACGATGCCGAACCTCTGCATTGCTAACATGGTGTTGCCACTGGATGTCAGCAATCCTTCGGAGATAACGATGATCAAACACAGAGAGTCATCTAACATCCCCAACTCGGAGAGGCCAGGTTTCACAAGCATAGAGCAAAACTGCTCTCACCGACGCGTTGTAGATCCGACCTTTCACAGCCAGACTAACATCACGAAGGGGCCAAAGGTGGCCCAGATTGGTATAAGCGACTCTAGCTTTCACTATACGTGCATTGATCTCATCACTCACACCCCCACTAGCACTTATGCAGCTACTCAGATACACGAACTTCTCAACTACTTCTATCTGCTCACCATCCAGAGTGAGTGCAGGATTAGGATCCTGCCAGTCTTGTAGAAGTACTTTGCACTTCGAAAGCGCAAAACACATACCATACTTACGGACATTGATTGCCAACTGATTAATTGCAGATTACATGCTTTAAGCATTATCGCACAGTAAGACAATATCGTCCGCATACTCAAGGTCGAGAAGTCTTTCTCCAGGCAACAGATCCACACCACCATTGCTTACATTCATCAGAGCTGTTTCCAGAATGTCATCGATGGCAAAGTTGGAGAGGAATGGTGAGATTGCGCAACCCTGCCTAACCCCACTGCTCGAATGGAACAATGGAGAAAGGTGGTTGTATGCCCTCACTCTGCTTGAGGTGTTTGTATATAGGGCTTTTAGAATGTTAATAAACTTCTCAGGCACAACATACTTCAATAGACAATCCCAGAGAGCAGTACTGACCAACGAATCGAAGGCAGCCCTGATGTCAAGAAACACTAAGATTGTTGGCCTTTGATAAGTATGACGGTGTTCTAACATTTGGCGGAGGGTGAAGATATGGTCAATACATCCTCGACCAGAACGAAACCCAGCCTGCTCCTCGCAAGTCAATCTTTCTCGGGTTTTGAACAACCTACGAAGTATGACGGAAGCCAATAGCTTGGACGCAATCGGAAGTAGACTTATCCCCCGATAGTTGTTACAGGAACGACGTGAACTATCGACTTATTCCATGACGTTGGTACACTCTCTAGCTCCCAGACCTTTGCAAACAACGTCGTCAGTTCCTTAGTCAGAAAGTCACCACCATCTTTAAAAAAACCGGAGGTAAGTCATTTGGGCCAGGTGATTTGTAGCGCTTCAAGAGTTGGAGTTCCTTGCGGACATCCGCCTCATTTGATGGATCAGTCGTCACCGGCCATGGAAAGCACGACAGTCTGACCGATGTTGCCGGAGCAGCAGGCCAGTTGAACTGCTTTTCGAAAAATTCTGCCCGTCGTCCAAGACGTCGATCGATGTTAGTGATTGGCATCCCATCATCCTCACAGATTGTTTCGCTCACACCAGACTTCTTGCTGCCAGTGGTTCGGATGAGTTGGAAGAGCTTCCGGTAGTTACCAGATGCAGCTGCTGCTTCAAGCTCATTAACACGCTCCGACCACCAGGCTTCTCGGTCTTCACGCAAGCTTTGCTCAATTTCATTACGTAACAGTTGTTGTTTGTGGTCAAACTCACGGTCACCCGGAGTAGACCGACGGGCTTCAATAAGTTGTAAGGAATCAGAAGAAACCCAGTGCTTAAAGGCGGGACGTTTCGCGAAGCCGCAAGCGATTTTACTCGCCATTTTGATGGCGTCATGCAATGGCAACCAATGCTCATCTATACTTTTCGGTGGAATGGTAGCTAACCTAGAAACTAGCTCGATTCGATACTTACTTGCAAAAAAGGTTGCAACCAGCTTGCTAACATCAATCCTTTGGTGACGATCACCTCGTTGGCCACCAAAAAGTAAGGTGAAATTGGCGCAAACCAAGGCATGATCAGAGTCCAGATAGGTACTCCAAAATGAGCAGCATTCTTGTACACAACCACGCCAGCGGTAGCTGATCGCAATGTGATCAATCTGAGTCCAGGCTTGAGATGCAAAGGGAGGACGCCAGGCGGCATATCGGCGATAACTGGGCCAGTAGTTAGTATTAGCCAGAAACAGGTTGTGGTCTGTGCACAGTTGCAGTAGACGGTCCCCGTTATCTGTCCTGTGACCAACAAGTCCCAATCGACTACCTAAACGACTCTCTTCTGTGCCTAGACGCCCGACCTGAGCATTCAAGTCTCCGGCTAGTACTACAATATCTGTCGAACGCACTTTCTGGAAAAGAACAGATAACTGGTGGTAAAACTCATCCTTGATTGCATCCGGGCTGCAATCTGTCGGAGCATAGGCGGAGATGACGGAAAGACATCATTTCTCACGCCGATTTCTTCTCACTTTGATGGAACTTTCTAATCTAACAGCACATAACCGACTGTTAATGGGGATCCAATCGATTAGTGCTGCCTCAGCTCTAGCGTTTATTGTGACACCAACGCCAGCAAGATCAGACGAAGATGCCACAGTATCCCTAGATAAGCGCATGTATAACAAGCTTTTTCAAGTGACAGATGGAGAGCGAATTTGAAGTACTTCACCAGAGTCTTGAATACGGGTCTCGAACAGATAACAAACATCGATATTAAGACTTTCCAAAGACATAGCCAGCCCTATCTGTTGTCCAACATGCATAAGTGTGCGAACGTTGAAAGCAGCCAGTTTGAATGGTGCACGTGGTTTCAGAAAAACTGCTTCAGTACTCATATTCGGTGGTAGCATACAATTTTCAACCGGACAGTGACTCGAGAACGTTTAGATACAGTCGAATTCCCACCATAGACGAGCTGCTGGATAATTCGAAAAATTAAGTGTAGACAGAGTAAGAATAAAAGAGGGTGGATAATGTCGCAGTAAATAATAATAATAATAACAATAATAATAGTAATAATAATGATAATAATAATAACTTGAATCATTTGATTGTTAGTTGAAGCAGGAGAAGTAATTTCCATAATTATAAGCAGTTCATCATTTGTGTGTGGGCTGTGATACTGCCCGGGTGCTCAGACCGAAGTAGGTGGTTATCTTAGGGGCCACACCCTGAGCCTTCGACCTAAAGGTCTAACCCACAAGGCAGTGGAGCATCGTATGGAGATGCAGTTCCATGGTAGCCGGTGACCGAAAATTGGTTCCTACGCCATTTGTTCATTCAGGATACTGAAGCCCATGTGCACCACTGATTTGGTTTGGGATCCGGTTAAAGCGCCGGACATTCGCTTTTTGTCCACTCATTTTCGTAAACAACACCCCCGCCACGAGAAGGCAGTGAGTAGGACTTCCCTGGCAGAGGCTGTATACGCGTGGTCATGTGAGAGTATTTCGAGAGGGAAGGCGAACCCACCCCGCTCTCGGCCATACCAGGGCATTTGGGGGCTACTACACTACAATGTTACATGACATGAAAAATTTAACCTTAAGTTCTGTCGTTTTGCACACTCAAACCGAACTTGACTGTAATAAACCACACTGTAACCTGATAAGTACAACAAAGGAGAGCTTATTACTGCCTTCTCAGTCAATACCTGTAACCCCAAACTACTATACATCAACTGGAACTATAAAGAACGGGTGCGAAATGCAACATTTTGACTTCAAGGTTGGAATATGTACAGAAAATCGAGGACACTTAGAGTTGTGTGTGACCTTTGGTCTTTAGAAATTTCCGAAACACTACCACAGTAACGTCATACGTAAATATCCAGTTAAAAACAAGACAAACGATTTTTCATTTCTTAGATGTTTCTAAGCTTCTGTTTTACACTAATTGGAAATAACATTTCCCGGTTATGTGACTCTGGAGACCTTGGCAAGAAATATTTTAGGACTCTCAAATAGGATTATAATATAAACCTTCAAACACAGACAATGATAATGATGGATAAACAAATTGAATCACTTTAGAGCTTCCTGAAGCATTTAAAGATGGTCTAGTCTTTTACACAACAACTCAAGCTATTTCAAAACAAAAACTCGATAGTATACCGTGAGGTAAAGAGAACCTTGTAATTGTCTACAGAAGAAACGACATACTTTTTATTTATTTATTTGAACACATAAATATTGGTACAAGAGAGCGCCAATATATATGCGCCACACAAAACAATGAAAATTCGAAGAGAGATAGAAAAAAAAAACTAAGGAGCGCAAAAGAAAAAGAGAACGATTACAAAGAGATTGGTGTAAGGTAGTGTGGTAGTAATCAGGGAACGGAAAGGTACAATCAGAGGAAATCTCTCAGTTAAGGAAGACACAGCCACTTTTTTTCATGAAGAAAGTAAAAGAAGGTTACAGCAGGATCGCCACCGGCTTCTATTCTCAGCCATATCTGATAACGTCTCTAGCCACTGTGTAGCACCATCTCTCAGACCCCAACCAGGGAGTCGTGAAGGACCAACACAAGCCAGTCCTTTGCAGCTTTCTTTCATACCACGACACCATGTCATGCACTGACCACCTCTCCGTTTTCTCCAACCAGTCCGAGTCGGCAAACAATGCACGACGTGGAATTCTCTGGGACGACATTCGTAGAACATGTCCAAGCCACCGAAGTCGGTGTTTCAAGATGGTGACACCAATTGAATTATCATCTCTGTGCCCAAACACACGATGCCGAACCTCTGCATTACTAACATGGTGTTGCCACTGGATGTCAGCGATGATCGAACACAGAGAGTCGTCTAACGTCCTCAACTCGGAGATGCCAGGTTTCACAAGCATAGAGCAAAACTGCTCTCACTTCAATTTATACGATCGAGTAATATCACTAGCCACAAACCAATAATGTTAATATACTATTAAATATATGAATACCTTAATTTATCAATACATTCTAACAAATTTTAAAAGAATCCCTTCCTTATTGAACAAGCTCATTTTCCATTATCTTATAATCATGTAGTTCATATCTTTCGAAAACATAATTACTCGTACTTTTCTTATAGTAAGAAAACGTCAATAATAAAAATGGGATTAGTGAACAGGGTGTATAAGTCAGTCAGTAACAACGTAGAACTTCGTACGTAAATCAGTTCGAGTTGCCACACCACCTTAACACAGAGATGCAAATCCCGTAGTGGTACAGGTAGCAAGAGTGTAAGCAGCGTCAAGGTAGCAGCAGCTTATACAGGGTGTATAAGCATATTGAAATCCACAAAATACACGTAAATGTATTTATGTGATTGTAAAAAAAGAATATACCTTGATGAATTGATTGTATGTGTCTATTTAGTGGACATTTCGCAGTGAACTTCTTATCACACTTATCACATTGGTAAAATATGCCTATAAGAACCAAAAAAAGCAGAGATTTGGTGAAATATATTGAACTATTTAAAATGATTATCCAACTAAAAAATAAATGATTCCTAAGAGTTCGAACTTCACAATATGTGACCAAATGAAAGGTGAGAGAGGATTACGATCTACGATTTATTAGTTGAAATTCGTGTTCTTTAACTTACTATAACACTAATTTATCTTTCGTGAAACAGAGCTTCCAGTGGAATATTATCAATATGAGTTGCCAAATAATTAAAAGTCCAAGTGTTGGGGACGATAGATCCCTAAACTCATATTTTTAAAATTTTATCGCATCGATCAACTTATTGATTAAATGTTAAATATTTGTATTGGGGTCAATTGATGAACTGATCGATTAAATGTGCAAATAGGTCAATTGATGAACTTATCGATTAAATGTGCAAATAGGTCAATTGATGAACTCATTGATTAGTGTTTACAATTTTTCTATGACAATATCGATTGTAAATATTGTAAAAATACGCATGAGTTGTGTGTTTGACTTGACTTGTTATCTGCTGTGTGTCTGCAGAATACACTCCTACACCTTACCCAGACTTCTTGGTGAAGTCAGCAGAGTTGGGGACAACGAACCAGAATAGCTATCGAGTTGCTGAGTCACTGATCCTTCGTTCCGTTGAGTAAGACGCACCAGTAATAGCATTCAAGCGAATAACAAATCGTAACAGCAAGAAACATGAAGAGTGATTTTAATGTGATGTGTATAATCAATATTTGATAAAAATGAGCGTAAAATACGATTTCATGATAGAATATAATTATAACCAACCAATAGAAATCACCTTCATGAGCAGACTTTACATGTTCGTTTAGATTGGATTTACAATTAAACTTTCTATCACATTGCTTACAAGTAAGTTTTATTCCTAATGAGAGAGAAAAAAACAAAACAATAATTAACAAAATATATACTTATACAAATTCGATATCAATATTCAGGGTAATTAGTTTTCATTAACTCAGGTGGTTGACACATGTATTATGTATGCTCGAAAGCTCCTACTTCGATGGACGATGTTGCACGGTGTAAAAGTAAGCTGAAAGATATGGCATGACACACGTAAATGAATCAGCCCATGAGGTCATTACCAAATGGATTTAGCCATGTACGTAGGTGTAGACTATTTGCTCGTGGTATGAAAGATTACCGAAACCAGTGGTTGCGCAGACATCGATTAGAATCGATCATAATGGCTTAAGTGTTTTTGCATTTCTTCTTAACCTTAGATTCTGAAGTCTTTAAATACTTTTTTTCTTCCATACCTAAAACTTTTCAACTATTATTATTTATCATTTTGACTACTACCACCATTACATTACAATTGGTCCAGATAGTCTTGTCGCGCAGCGCTAAAGTGGTCTGACAACTGAAACTCATGTATATAAGTAATACATTCCTAGCAGAGTATTAAAACTGACTACTAACGAATTGAAACATTACAAATCGAAGAAACATGTTAAAACAATTCAAATGAAAAGCATACACAAAATAACTTTTTTGATTAGAATGTATGAGGCATACCAGTTTCACAGTAGGACGTCTCTTTCAAAACCGAAACATACCTTTATGAATAGCTTTCACGTGGTTATTCACCATACATTTAGACGAAAACGTTTTACTACATTGATCACATGGATACTTTATTCCTAATGAAAAAAAACAAGTATGAATACTGATAAATTCTTACAAAACAAATTAACAAAGGAATAAATGTGGTTATGTACTAAGGGTTGGAAGTATACATATCATCCTAGATATACATAACCATTTCAAAAGAGAAAAGGATAAGAAAAAAAAGAACAATCATTCTCTTAGAAGACCTTGAACTATAATTATGGCATGAACAGTGAAAACAATCACCGTGATGAATTGATTTTATGTGTCTAGTTAGTTGGGATTTCGTAGTGAAGTTCCTGTCCCATTCATCACATCAAAGATTAATATTTATGAGGACAACAACACAAAGATTTCTCAAAATATAATTAATCATTGAAGACAATAATACCAGTAAAAAGTAAAAGGTTTTTGGGACCTCATATTATGTGAACAAATCAAAAGATGTTAAGAGGTATTCATCAGCGACTAAACAGTCAAAAAACTTATTGTAGAGACTTAATGAGAAGGTATGTTGCACACAACATCATAATTACCACAATGCCCTCAAATGTCCTGGCACGACCGAGGGTGGGGAGAGTCCGCTCTCCCTCTCGAAATTCTCACATGGACACGCGTATACAGCTACTACCACGGAAGTCCTATTCACTGCCTTCTTGCGAACGGGTGTTGTTTACGAAATTGACAGGACGAACAGCGAATGCCTTTCGCTTTGACTCGGGGTGTGGCCTCCCAAGTAGACCACCTTCTTCGGTCTGGGTACCCGGGCAGCATCATAGCCCTCAAGCAAATCTCATTTGATTTGTGTGGAGCATAGTTATTTGGTGCCTCCTTGTATCAATATTTATTTGTTCAAATAAAGTAAAAAATAATTACCACTACAACTCACCGTCATGAATAACTTTCTTGTGTTCAATTAAACGGAATTTACTTGAAAACTTTCTGTCACATTGAATACAAGAATATTTCATTTCTAAAGAGAAAAGAAACAATAATTAAGATTATTAAATGTACTTATGAAGTTTTGCAAACCAATCATGACTGAGTCAACATTAGAGATCTATTATCACATGTGTGTGAATTGTGATACTATCTAGACGCCAAAACTAAAATAAGTGATTTTGTTAGGTCGATTACTATCGGGACATATGACCTTAAGATCTAATCCACGTTAACACATCCAGTTCACCGGGTAGCCAGTGACCAGAATCAATTTGTACACCATACATTCATTGAAGAAACTACAGCTCATAGTACAGCATTCCTTTCCAATCAGTTTTTCAACTGCTCAACGTCGACCCTCAGTATCCACAGACCCGGTTAGAACATTGGACGTTCGCATTCCGTTTCCTCATAAAAGCATCCAAACCATATACTTTTAGTCTGAAGAACAAGTTTAGGTGGTTAAATTACAATCACAGAGGAATTGAACTACATAATAAACTGACTTTCTGATACCAGGTCTCTATTTGTTAACTGATTTTTAAACCGGTCCGTTTTATTGTAAATCCATGTGCATCTATAAGTTGTGCAACATCAAAAAAGGTCGGTTGTTTATGTATTACATCGAAATTTACTGATATTAGTACTTGATAAAATGAGTGCGTGTTTTTCATTCAGTCGCTAAATGACGTTTCTCAACCAGTGGATCAGATAAACAGAATCAATCAATATCAAATCACTGAGATTTCTAATTATTCGACTTTTTATGTAGAAAGTACCCCAAGTCACAATATGCCGAAAACAAAATAGCAACTGTAGTATATAAAGTGAACTAATGCCCATTTTCTTCATTGAGATCGTGATAGCTTGGTTTTTATTATTTTTTGTGTCCATCACCATGAACCTTGACCACCCCCTTTTGAAAAAGAAGGAAGTCAAGATACAACACTCACTACCGCCAACTCTTTATTTAAAAAAATTTAGTGTCATTTTGAGACACATATTGTATCTTACCGTTTACTATAGAGAAAATTAACAGCATTTGGTTTAAATCTTCAAAAGAATGGAAGTGAGGTATAATGATGTAGACGAACTGTTTTTTATAAGGAAAATTTATTCATCATTTAGTGAATAAGAAATGAACACTGGAAAAATGAGTATTAAAATGAAAACAGACAGGTGGAAACAAATGCAATTTATTCTAAGCATACAATCTAGTGTGATACCATCTATCATTGCAAGGTTCGGTTTATAAAACCCAAAACCTGACTTCGAAAGAACGAAGTATGAGTCAACAACATTTAGTCTGTGGCAACATTGAAACAAAAAAACGATCACAACTTATTAAGTGTAAAAAGCAAACAAATAACAAGAAATGTGTTACCTACTTTTGTGAATGCTTTTAATGTGACGGTCCCGTCCAGTAACTGTTGAAAACGTCTTGTTGCAAAAACCACATGACGGTTTCACTCCTGTAAATATTAAGAATTAATTGAGGAAATCCATTGTAAGAACAATGGGCGATTTGAAAGAACAGTAAAAAGAAAATCTCCTACAGTCAAGATTACTACCGAGGTAAATTACCAAACTATTTTTTGACGTGTATTAGAGAGATTAATAACATACAAATAAAAATAAATATGTATCTTAATGAGCATATCAGTTGTCATAGTTTACAACTAGACGAATGAACTCTGTAAACTTTCTACATTACATCAGATTCAGTAATCAACAATTCACACATTAACAGTTCTATTCAGTAATGAACACTGTAAATTCAATGTGAAGAATATTTTCAAAGGATGAACAAATTACAATTTAGTTAGTGTATACCTACCCTTTTCAGAATCTTGAACTGATGAAATTCGATGTCGCTTAACAGTTGTACCACAATTAATACGGTTATGAACATTAACAACGTGACCATCATTAGAGTTGTATTTATCTATGAAAGTGGATCATACAATATTATATTTATGTTACTAAATAATTCAATAACGTAATAATCAGATTTGTAAAATTCATTTGAGGAAAAAAGGTAAACAGAAATAAATCTATCCATGATGTGAACCATTAAAACCATAGATGATGAAACTAATATATATATATACCAACAGAAAGGATACAGATGGCTTCTAAATACGGTTCAGTCAATATATTTATCCAACATACAGATCATTAAGACTGTTGTAAAAATTTAAGTCCAGATAAATCTACTGATAGATTCATTTTTCATTAGATATAACTTATCAAAGATTTTGAATGATCAACATTGAATACATTTAGAATAATACTTTAATGATACAGGTATTGGAAATGGTTGGAAGAAAGTTAGGGGCGGCCAAACCAAAACGTGGCATCAGTGCTTGAAGTCACTAACTTCTAGTCTGAGCCATGTTGGCAGATGCAGACTACTTGGTTGGCGTCCGTGTGACTATCGTAAACAATGGTTGGAGACTCTTGGTGACATGGCTCAGAATCGATCACAATGGCGTCGGTGTATACCCTAACTCACTTATTTTAACCCACTCCGTTTATAGTATTTTACTAATATTCATGCAACTATTCCTACCCTTTTATCTCCGAATTGAGGTTCACATTAAGTGTCAGACATACTAGAATATGTTGTCCACCTAGCACAAACATGCACTAGGTCACTTCACAGCATTACACTAGCTTACTGTGATGAAGTTAATGAGGTAAACGGCAAATGAGATGGCTGTAATGTTGATCACAATATAACAAGTAAAAATGTGTGGGTGACGTTCAAATACCCACAAAACAACAAGATAACAATAATAATTCTGATATGTGGTATTTAAAGTAAATTATGATTGGACAGACAGGCACTTAGCCTACTGACTATTCAATATGATTTTCTTTCCTCTAACTGAATTATACTCCGGACTCACTGAGTGACTCCTTGGATAAAGTATTATCCAGTGTTAATCTGACACTATTCTACGTCGCGAATACTGGATCTAACATAACGTGACTAGTTTTATTGTCGTATTAAGGTATTATCGTAGCATACTTGACAAAAATATTCTAAACCAACTGTGATACTGAATTCATATGAAGGTATCTGAAAGATATTTGCTGTTCGATGTCGTCAATTGTTCACATGACAAATGAAAAAACTGAAGATATCTTACGAAACAAACTTAACAAAAAAAATAAAACTAAGAGAGATTAATGGACCAAATACATAGCATTTAAAATTACTTTCTAAATCCATGACTGGGTTTACTTCAAGTTAGTTTTAAACAGGATGACCTAATTTATTTATTCATTTATTTCAACACAAATATTAGAACAAGGAGGAACCTAATATATATGGGCCATACAAGTCACAGAGCTTTCAGTGGAATATTATCAATATGAGTTGCCAAATAATTAAAAGTCCAAGAAACATGAAGAGTGATTTCAATGTGATGTGTATAATCAATATTTGATAAAAATGAGCGTAAAATACGATTTCATGATAGAATATAATTATAACCAACCAATAGAAATCACCTTCATGAGCAGACTTTACATGTTCGTTTAGATTGGATTTACAATTAAACTTTCTATCACATTGCTTACAAGTAAGTTTTATTCCTAATGAGAGAGAAAAAAACAAAACAATAATTAACAAAATATATACTTATACAAATTCGATATCAATATTCAGGGTAATTAGTTTTCATTAACTCAGGTGGTTGACACATGTATTATGTATGCTCGAAAGCTCCTACTTCGATGGACGATGTTGCACGGTGTAAAAGTAAGCTGAAAGATATGGCATGACACACGTAAATGAATCAGCCCATGAGGTCATTACCAAATGGATTTAGCCATGTACGTAGGTGTAGACTATTTGCTCGTGGTATGAAAGATTACCGAAACCAGTGGTTGCGCAGACATCGATTAGAATCGATCATAATGGCTTAAGTGTTTTTGCATTTCTTCTTAACCTTAGATTCTGAAGTCTTTAAATACTTTTTTTCTTCCATACCTAAAACTTTTCAACTATTATTATTTATCATTTTGACTACTACCACCATTACATTACAATTGGTCCAGATAGTCTTGTCGCGCAGCGCTAAAGTGGTCTGACAACTGAAACTCATGTATATAAGTAATACATTCCTAGCAGAGTATTAAAACTGACTACTAACGAATTGAAACATTACAAATCGAAGAAACATGTTAAAACAATTCAAATGAAAAGCATACACAAAATAACTTTTTTGATTAGAATGTATGAGGCATACCAGTTTCACAGTAGGACGTCTCTTTCAAAACCGAAACATACCTTTATGAATAGCTTTCACGTGGTTATTTACCATACATTTAGACGAAAACGTTTTACTACATTGATCACATGGATACTTTATTCCTAATGAAAAAAAACAAGTATGAATACTGATAAATTCTTATAAAACAAATTAACACAGGAATAAATGTGGTTATGTACTAAGGGTTGGAAGTATACATATCATCCTAGATATACATAACCATTTCAAAAGAGAAAAGGATAAGAAAAAAAAGAACAATCATTCTCTTAGAAGACCTTGAACTATAATTATGGCATGAACAGTGAAAACAATCACCGTGATGAATTGATTTTATGTGTCTAGTTAGTTGGGATTTCGTAGTGAAGTTCCTGTCCCATTCATCACATCAAAGATTAATATTTATGAGGACAACAACACAAAGATTTCTCAAAATATAATTAATCATTGAAGACAATAATACCAGTAAAAAGTAAAAGGTTTTTGGGACCTCATATTATGTGAACAAATCAAAAGATGTTAAGAGGTATTCATCAGCGACTAAACAGTCAAAAAACTTATTGTAGAGACTTAATGAGAAGGTATGTTGCACACAACATCATAATTACCACAATGCCCTCAAATGTCCTGGCACGACCGAGGGTGGGGAGAGTCCGCTCTCCCTCTCGAAATTCTCACATGGACACGCGTATACAGCTACTACCACGGGAGTCCTATTCACTGCCTTCTCGCGAACGGGTGTTGTTTACGAAATTGACAGGACGAACAGCGAATGCCTTTCGCTTTGACAGGGTAGGTGGATATGGAGGATCCACCGAGACGAGTTGGAAAACCTTGATTCCAAACGAATGGTACACATGGGCTGCAGGATCCTGAATGAACAAATGGCGTACGAACCAATCGTTGGTCACCGGCTACCATCGGACTGCATCTCCTCACGATGCTCCACTGCCTTGTGGATCAGACCTTTATGTTAAAGGCTCCAGGTGTGGCCCTCTTTTATTTATTATATTTGAACACATAAATATTGGTACAAAATGCACCAAATATATATGCCCCACGCAAAACAATGAGAATTTAAGGGGAAGGAAAAAAAGAGAGAATAATAACGAAGAGATTGATGTAAGGTGGTGTGATAATAATAATGGTAAAAATGGGGGAACTGAAAGGTACAATCAGAAGAAATCTCTCAGTTAAGGAAGACACAGCCACTTTTTTTCATGAAGAAAGTAAAAGAAGGTTACAGCAGGATCGCCACCGGCTTCTATTCTCAGCCATATCTGATAACGTCTCTAGCCACTGTGTAGCACCATCTCTCAGACCCCAACCAGGGAGTCGTGAAGGACCAACACAAGCCAGTCCTTTGCAGCTTTCTTTCATACCACGACACCATGTCATGCACTGACCACCTCTCCGTTTTCTCCAACCAGTCCGAGTCGGCAAACAATGCACGACGTGGAATTCTCTGGGACGACATTCGTAGAACATGTCCAAGCCACCGAAGTCGGTGTTTCAAGATGGTGACACCAATTGAATTATCATCTCTGTGCCCAAACACACGATGCCGAACCTCTGCATTGCTAACATGGTGTTGCCACTGGATGTCAGCAATCCTTCGGAGATAACGATGATCAAACACAGAGAGTCATCTAACATCCCCAACTCGGAGAGGCCAGGTTTCACAAGCATAGAGCAAAACTGCTCTCACCGACGCGTTGTAGATCCGACCTTTCACAGCCAGACTAACATCACGAAGGGGCCAAAGGTGGCCCAGATTGGTATAAGCGACTCTAGCTTTCACTATACGTGCATTGATCTCATCACTCACACCTCCACTAGCACTTATGCAGCTACTCAGATACACGAACTTCTCAACTACTTCTATCTGCTCACCATCCAGAGTGAGTGCAGGATTAGGATCCTGCCAGTCTTGTAGAAGCACATTGCACTTCGAAAGCGCACAACCTACGTAGTATGACGGAAGCCAATAGCTTGGACGCAATCGGAAGTAGACTTATCCCCCGATAGTTGTTACAGGAACGACGTGAACTATCGACTTATTCCATGACGTTGGTACACTCTCTAGCTCCCAGACCTTTGCAAACAACGTCGTCAGTTCCTTAGTCAGAAAGTCACCACCATCTTTAAAAAAACCGGAGGTAAGTCATTTGGGCCAGGTGATTTGTAGCGCTTCAAGAGTTGAAATTCCTTGCGGACATCCGCCTCATTTGATGGATCAGTCGTCACCGGCCATGGAAAGCACGACAGTCTGACCGATGTTGCCGGAGCAGCAGGCCAGTTGAACTGCTTTTCGAAAAATTCTGCCCGTCGTCCAAGACGTCGATCGATGTTAGTGATTGGCATCCCATCATCCTCACAGATTGTTTCGCTCACACCAGACTTCTTGCTGCCAGTGGTTCGGATGAGTTGGAAGAGCTTCCGGTAGTTACCAGATGCAGCTGCTGCTTCAAGCTCATTAACACGCTCCGACCACCAGGCTTCTCGGTCTTCACGCAAGCTTTGCTCAATTTCATTACGTAACAGTTGTTGTTTGTGGTCAAACTCACGGTCACCCGGAGTAGACCGACGGGCTTCAATAAGTTGTAAGGAATCAGAAGAAACCCAGTGCTTAAAGGCGGGACGTTTCGCGAAGCCGCAAGCGATTTTACTCGCCATTTTGATGGCGTCATGCAATGGCAACCAATGCTCATCTATACTTTTCGGTGGAATGGTAGCTAACCTAGAAACTAGCTCGATTCGATACTTACTTGCAAAAAAGGTTGCAACCAGCTTGCTAACATCAATCCTTTGGTGACGATCACCTCGTTGGCCACCAAAAAGTAAGGTGAAATTGGCGCAAACCAAGGCATGATCAGAGTCCAGATAGGTACTCCAAAATGAGCAGCATTCTTGTACACAACCACGCCAGCGGTAGCTGATCGCAATGTGATCAATCTGAGTCCAGGCTTGAGATGCAAAGGGAGGACGCCAGGCGGCATATCGGCGATAACTGGGCCAGTAGTTAGTATTAGCCAGAAACAGGTTGTGGTCTGTGCACAGTTGCAGTAGACGGTCCCCGTTATCTGTCCTGTGACCAACAAGTCCCAATCGACTACCTAAACGACTCTCTTCTGTGCCTAGACGCCCGACCTGAGCATTCAAGTCTCCGGCTAGTACTACAATATCTGTCGAACGCACTTTCTGGAAAAGAACAGATAACTGGTGGTAAAACTCATCCTTGATTGCATCCGGGCTGCAATCTGTCGGAGCATAGGCGGAGATGACGGAAAGACATCATTTCTCACGCCGATTTCTTCTCACTTTGATGGAACTTTCTAATCTAACAGCACATAACCGACTGTTAATGGGGATCCAATCGATTAGTGCTGCCTCAGCTCTAGCGTTTATTGTGACACCAACGCCAGCAAGATCAGACGAAGATGCCACAGTATCCCTAGATAAGCGCATGTATAACAAGCTTTTTCAAGTGACAGATGGAGAGCGAATTTGAAGTACTTCACCAGAGTCTTGAATACGGGTCTCGAACAGATAACAAACATCGATATTAAGACTTTCCAAAGACATAGCCAGCCCTATCTGTTGTCCAACATGCATAAGTGTGCGAACGTTGAAAGCAGCCAGTTTGAATGGTGCACGTGGTTTCAGAAAAACTGCTTCAGTACTCATATTCGGTGGTAGCATACAATTTTCAACCGGACAGTGACTCGAGAACGTTTAGATACAGTCGAATTCCCACCATAGACGAGCTGCTGGATAATTCGAAAAATTAAGTGTAGACAGAGTAAGAATAAAAGAGGGTGGATAATGTCGCAGTAAATAATAATAATAATAACAATAATAATAGTAATAATAATGATAATAATAATAACTTGAATCATTTGATTGTTAGTTGAAGCAGGAGAAGTAATTTCCATAATTATAGGCAGTTCATCATTTGTGTGTGGGCTGTGATACTGCCCGGGTGCTCAGACCGAAGTAGGTGGTTATCTTAGGGGCCACACCCTGAGCCTTCGACCTAAAGGTCTAACCCACAAGGCAGTGGAGCATCGTATGGAGATGCAGTTCCATGGTAGCCGGTGACCGAAAATTGGTTCCTACGCCATTTGTTCATTCAGGATACTGAAGCCCATGTGCACCACTGATTTGGTTTGGGATCCGGTTAAAGCGCCGGACATTCGCTTTTTGTCCACTCATTTTCGTAAACAACACCCCCGCCACGAGAAGGCAGTGAGTAGGACTTCCCTGGCAGAGGCTGTATACGCGTGGTCATGTGAGAGTATTTCGAGAGGGAAGGCGAACCCACCCCGCTCTCGGCCATACCAGGGCATTTGGGGGCTACTACACTACAATGTTACATGACATGAAAAATTTAACCTTAAGTTCTGTCGTTTTGCACACTCAAACCGAACTTGACTGTAATAAACCACACTGTAACCTGATAAGTACAACAAAGGAGAGCTTATTACTGCCTTCTCAGTCAATACCTGTAACCCCAAACTACTATACATCAACTGGAACTATAAAGAACGGGTGCGAAATGCAACATTTTGACTTCAAGGTTGGAATATGTACAGAAAATCGAGGACACTTAGAGTTGTGTGTGACCTTTGGTCTTTAGAAATTTCCGAAACACTACCACAGTAACGTCATACGTAAATATCCAGTTAAAAACAAGACAAACGATTTTTCATTTCTTAGATGTTTCTAAGCTTCTGTTTTACACTAATTGGAAATAACATTTCCCGGTTATGTGACTCTGGAGACCTTGGCAAGAAATATTTTAGGACTCTCAAATAGGATTATAATATAAACCTTCAAACACAGACAATGATAATGATGGATAAACAAATTGAATCACTTTAGAGCTTCCTGAAGCATTTAAAGATGGTCTAGTCTTTTACACAACAACTCAAGCTATTTCAAAACAAAAACTCGATAGTATACCGTGAGGTAAAGAGAACCTTGTAATTGTCTACAGAAGAAACGACATACTTTTTATTTATTTATTTGAACACATAAATATTGGTACAAGAGAGCGCCAATATATATGCGCCACACAAAACAATGAAAATTCGAAGAGAGATAGAAAAAAAAAACTAAGGAGCGCAAAAGAAAAAGAGAACGATTACAAAGAGATTGGTGTAAGGTAGTGTGGTAGTAATCAGGGAACGGAAAGGTACAATCAGAGGAAATCTCTCAGTTAAGGAAGACACAGCCACTTTTTTTCATGAAGAAAGTAAAAGAAGGTTACAGCAGGATCGCCACCGGCTTCTATTCTCAGCCATATCTGATAACGTCTCTAGCCACTGTGTAGCACCATCTCTCAGACCCCAACCAGGGAGTCGTGAAGGACCAACACAAGCCAGTCCTTTGCAGCTTTCTTTCATACCACGACACCATGTCATGCACTGACCACCTCTCCGTTTTCTCCAACCAGTCTGAGTCGGCAAACAATGCACGACGTGGAATTCTCTGGGACGACATTCGTAGAACATGTCCAAGCCACCGAAGTCGGTGTTTCAAGATGGTGACACCAATTGAATTATCATCTCTGTGCCCAAACACACGATGCCGAACCTCTGCATTACTAACATGGTGTTGCCACTGGATGTCAGCGATGATCGAACACAGAGAGTCGTCTAACGTCCTCAACTCGGAGATGCCAGGTTTCACAAGCATAGAGCAAAACTGCTCTCACTTCAATTTATACGATCGAGTAATATCACTAGCCACAAACCAATAATGTTAATATACTATTAAATATATGAATACCTTAATTTATCAATACATTCTAACAAATTTTAAAAGAATCCCTTCCTTATTGAACAAGCTCATTTTCCATTATCTTATAATCATGTAGTTCATATCTTTCGAAAACATAATTACTCGTACTTTTCTTATAGTAAGAAAACGTCAATAATAAAAATGGGATTAGTGAACAGGGTGTATAAGTCAGTCAGTAACAACGTAGAACTTCGTACGTAAATCAGTTCGAGTTGCCACACCACCTTAACACAGAGATGCAAATCCCGTAGTGGTACAGGTAGCAAGAGTGTAAGCAGCGTCAAGGTAGCAGCAGCTTATACAGGGTGTATAAGCATATTGAAATCCACAAAATACACGTAAATGTATTTATGTGATTGTAAAAAAAGAATATACCTTGATGAATTGATTGTATGTGTCTATTTAGTGGACATTTCGCAGTGAACTTCTTATCACACTTATCACATTGGTAAAATATGCCTATAAGAACCAAAAAAAGCAGAGATTTGGTGAAATATATTGAACTATTTAAAATGATTATCCAACTAAAAAATAAATGATTCCTAAGAGTTCGAACTTCACAATATGTGACCAAATGAAAGGTGAGAGAGGATTACGATCTACGATTTATTAGTTGAAATTCGTGTTCTTTAACTTACTATAACACTAATTTATCTTTCGTGAAACAGAGCTTCCAGTGGAATATTATCAATATGAGTTGCCAAATAATTAAAAGTCCAAGTGTTGGGGACGATAGATCCCTAAACTCATATTTTTAAAATTTTATCGCATCGATCAACTTATTGATTAAATGTTAAATATTTGTATTGGGGTCAATTGATGAACTGATCGATTAAATGTGCAAATAGGTCAATTGATGAACTTATCGATTAAATGTGCAAATAGGTCAATTGATGAACTCATTGATTAGTGTTTACAATTTTTCTATGACAATATCGATTGTAAATATTGTAAAAATACGCATGAGTTGTGTGTTTGACTTGACTTGTTATCTGCTGTGTGTCTGCAGAATACACTCCTACACCTTACCCAGACTTCTTGGTGAAGTCAGCAGAGTTGGGGACAACGAACCAGAATAGCTATCGAGTTGCTGAGTCACTGATCCTTCGTTCCGTTGAGTAAGACGCACCAGTAATAGCATTCAAGCGAATAACAAATCGTAACAGCAAGAAACATGAAGAGTGATTTTAATGTGATGTGTATAATCAATATTTGATAAAAATGAGCGTAAAATACGATTTCATGATAGAATATAATTATAACCAACCAATAGAAATCACCTTCATGAGCAGACTTTACATGTTCGTTTAGATTGGATTTACAATTAAACTTTCTATCACATTGCTTACAAGTAAGTTTTATTCCTAATGAGAGAGAAAAAAACAAAACAATAATTAACAAAATATATACTTATACAAATTCGATATCAATATTCAGGGTAATTAGTTTTCATTAACTCAGGTGGTTGACACATGTATTATGTATGCTCGAAAGCTCCTACTTCGATGGACGATGTTGCACGGTGTAAAAGTAAGCTGAAAGATATGGCATGACACACGTAAATGAATCAGCCCATGAGGTCATTACCAAATGGATTTAGCCATGTACGTAGGTGTAGACTATTTGCTCGTGGTATGAAAGATTACCGAAACCAGTGGTTGCGCAGACATCGATTAGAATCGATCATAATGGCTTAAGTGTTTTTGCATTTCTTCTTAACCTTAGATTCTGAAGTCTTTAAATACTTTTTTTCTTCCATACCTAAAACTTTTCAACTATTATTATTTATCATTTTGACTACTACCACCATTACATTACAATTGGTCCAGATAGTCTTGTCGCGCAGCGCTAAAGTGGTCTGACAACTGAAACTCATGTATATAAGTAATACATTCCTAGCAGAGTATTAAAACTGACTACTAACGAATTGAAACATTACAAATCGAAGAAACATGTTAAAACAATTCAAATGAAAAGCATACACAAAATAACTTTTTTGATTAGAATGTATGAGGCATACCAGTTTCACAGTAGGACGTCTCTTTCAAAACCGAAACATACCTTTATGAATAGCTTTCACGTGGTTATTCACCATACATTTAGACGAAAACGTTTTACTACATTGATCACATGGATACTTTATTCCTAATGAAAAAAAACAAGTATGAATACTGATAAATTCTTACAAAACAAATTAACACAGGAATAAATGTGGTTATGTACTAAGGGTTGGAAGTATACATATCATCCTAGATATACATAACCATTTCAAAAGAGAAAAGGATAAGAAAAAAAGAACAATCATTCTCTTAGAAGACCTTGAACTATAATTATGGTATGAACAGTGAAAACAATCACCGTGATGAATTGATTTTACGTGTCTAGTTAGTTGGGATTTCGTAGTGAAGTTCCTGTCCCATTCATCACATGAAACATTAATACCTATGAGGACATCAACACAAAGATTTCTCAAAATATAATTAATCATTGAAGACAATAATACCAGTAAAAAGTAAAAGGTTTTTGGGACCCCATATTATGTGAACAAATCAAAAGATGTTAAGAGGTATTCATCAGCGACTAAACAGTCAAACAAACTTATTGTAGAGACCTAATGAGAAGGTATGTTGCACACAAGATCATAACTACCACAATGCCCTCAAATGTCCTGGCACGACCGAGGGTGGGGAGAGTACGCTCTCCCTCTCGAAATTCTCACATGGACACGCGTATACAGCTACTACCACGGGAGTCCTATTCACTGCCTTCTCGCGAACGGGTCGATGTGGACCCTCAGTATCCACAGACCCGGTTAGAACATTGGACGTTCGCATTCCGTTTTCTCATAAAAGCATCCAAACCATATGCTTTTAGTCTGAAGAACAAGTTTAAGTGGTTAAATTACAATCACAGAGGAATTGAACTACATAATAAACTGACTTTCTGATACCAGGTCTCTATTTGTTAACTGATTTTTAAACCGGTCCGTTTTATTGTAAATCCATGTGCATCTATAAGTTGTGCAACATCAAAAAAGGTCGGTTGTTTATGTATTACATCGAAATTTACTGATATTAGTACTTGATAAAATGAGTGCGTGTTTTTCATTCAGTCGCTAAATGACGTTTCTCAACCAGTGGATCAGATAAACAGAATCAATCAATATCAAATCACTGAGATTTCTAATTATTCGACTTTTTATGTAGAAAGTACCCCAAGTCACAATATGCCGAAAACAAAATAGCAACTGTAGTATATAAAGTGAACTAATGCCCATTTTCTTCATTGAGATCGTGATAGCTTGGTTTTTATTATTTTTTGTGTCCATCACCATGAACCTTGACCACCCCCTTTTGAAAAAGAAGGAAGTCAAGATACAACACTCACTACCGCCAACTCTTTATTTAAAAAAATTTAGTGTCATTTTGAGACACATATTGTATCTTACCGTTTACTATAGAGAAAATTAACAGCATTTGGTTTAAATCTTCAAAAGAATGGAAGTGAGGTATAATGATGTAGACGAACTGTTTTTTATAAGGAAAATTTATTCATCATTTAGTGAATAAGAAATGAACACTGGAAAAATGAGTATTAAAATGAAAACAGACAGGTGGAAACAAATGCAATTTATTCTAAGCATACAATCTAGTGTGATACCATCTATCATTGCAAGGTTCGGTTTATAAAACCCAAAACCTGACTTCGAAAGAACGAAGTATGAGTCAACAACATTTAGTCTGTGGCAACATTGAAACAAAAAAACGATCACAACTTATTAAGTGTAAAAAGCAAACAAATAACAAGAAATGTGTTACCTACTTTTGTGAATGCTTTTAATGTGACGGTCCCGTCCAGTAACTGTTGAAAACGTCTTGTTGCAAAAACCACATGACGGTTTCACTCCTGTAAATATTAAGAATTAATTGAGGAAATCCATTGTAAGAACAATGGGCGATTTGAAAGAACAGTAAAAAGAAAATCTCCTACAGTCAAGATTACTACCGAGGTAAATTACCAAACTATTTTTTGACGTGTATTAGAGAGATTAATAACATACAAATAAAAATAAATATGTATCTTAATGAGCATATCAGTTGTCATAGTTTACAACTAGACGAATGAACTCTGTAAACTTTCTACATTACATCAGATTCAGTAATCAACAATTCACACATTAACAGTTCTATTCAGTAATGAACACTGTAAATTCAATGTGAAGAATATTTTCAAAGGATGAACAAATTACAATTTAGTTAGTGTATACCTACCCTTTTCAGAATCTTGAACTGATGAAATTCGATGTCGCTTAACAGTTGTACCACAATTAATACGGTTATGAACATTAACAACGTGACCATCATTAGAGTTGTATTTATCTATGAAAGTGGATCATACAATATTATATTTATGTTACTAAATAATTCAATAACGTAATAATCAGATTTGTAAAATTCATTTGAGGAAAAAAGGTAAACAGAAATAAATCTATCCATGATGTGAACCATTAAAACCATAGATGATGAAACTAATATATATATATATATATATATACCAACAGAAAGGATACAGATGGCTTCTAAATACGGTTCAGTCAATATATTTATCCAACATACAGATCATTAAGACTGTTGTAAAAATTAAAATCAAGATAAATCTACTGACAGATTCATTTTTCATTAGATATAACTTATCAAAGATTTTGAATGATCAACATTGAATACATTTAGAATGGTTGGAAGAAAGTTAGGGGCGGCCAAACCAAAACGTGGCATCAGTGCTTGAAGTCACTAACTTCTAGTCTGAGCCATGTTGGTAGATGCAGACTACTTGGTTGGGGTCCGCGTGACTATCGTAAACAATGGTTGGAGACTCTTGGTGACATGGCTCAGAATCGATCACAATGGCGTCGGTGTATACACACCCTGTCTTCCCTTAAACTAAGAGATTAAAATCGCTTAATATCTTTCTTTCTACGAACCAATTCTTTCTTCTTGTACTATATCTCTATATGCAATCTTTCTCTTATATATTACCACCTTTTACCTAACCACTGTTATGAATCCGGTTTTCATCTTGTTGTGCTGATGCGGTATGGCAACCTGGACCGATGCACATATGTGCCTAGTCCTACGTTGTAGCTGACTGACTGACTGATACAGGTAAAGAATTAAAATACCTTAGTAAAATAGTTTTAAGATCAAATCTTTTCAGAGGATTTTATTAGAAAAACCAGTCAAGTATTATATTTATATTTGATTGATCGGAGCAGCTTTACACTATATTCCCAAAGTGAACAGAATGGAAGAAATGAGCGAAATTGTTTCAGTCGTTCAAAAGTTATGGTCAAAAGTGTCTTCACAAAATTCATGGTCTCGGGTATTTCCGTAGGATTTTGTCACAGTTAATTTCATATTGCTGAATTAACTTTTGAATGACTGAATAGATTTCGCCCATTCTTGATGTATTTTATGCTGAATTGCAAATATTGTTGTTTCTAAACCAATTTTTCATCTATCCAGAACTCAGAATCAATCGAGCAGCAGTGTACAATCTTAACTTATTCAAACCCCCAAAACATGTATAGGTATCTTGATATAATTATATATATAATTCAACAAATTATTGAAAGTAATAAACTGTAATAACACTTACGTTTAAAACTATCATCCAAATACAAAGATTGATTATCTCGTAAAATTTCCAACTTATTATCTATTAGGCTGTCATCCATAACGTTATCACAATTACATTCTTCCGCTAAAAACAAATACATCGATAAGAATGCAGCATATATAGTCAAACGATAGATAATATACTCAATAACGTAACTGTTATCTATAATTGAAGATGGATTTATTACTAATAATGAGCGTTCACTGAACGGTGTGTAGCCAATAACATGTTTTTCTCATCTGTTAGTAATGATCATCTTTACAATGTACCTACTAGCTTTAACCACGACTTACAAGTTCACTATGTTCTGATGTTAGTTGATTGCACGAAATCGTTAAGAAACCATGAAACAGACTCTTGTGTGAATTGCCACTCGACATCTGTAAGATTTACCTGTACATTCTTGGTGGGACTGGTGTTTCCTGTTGTACTCTAGCCCAGATCAATCAGTGTCACAGTGACAGATACCACTACTACTGAGCCATTCTAGTCGCAACTAAGGAGCATCATACGGCACGAGACTCAAGCCTAGAGTTCCTTGGTGATTCCCTTTAATCACTTAATATTAGGATTTACTATGCAATGTGTTATTCCCTACCTCACTTATTTTAACCCACTCCGTTTTTAGTGTTTTGTTAATATTCATGCAACTATTCCTACCCTTTTATCTCCGAATTGAGGTTCACATTAAGTGTCAGACATACTAGAATATGTTGTCCACCTAGCACAAACATGCACTAGGTCACTTCACAGCATTACACTAGCTTACTGTGATGAAGTTAATGAGGTAAACGGCAAATGAGATGGCTGTAATGTTGATCACAATATAACAAGTAAAAATGTGTGGGTGACGTTCAAATACCCACAAAACAACAAGATAACAATAATAATTCTGATATGTGGTATTTAAAGTAAATTATGATTGGACAGACAGGCACTTAGCCTACTGACTATTCAATATGATTTTCTTTCCTCTAACTGAATTATACTCCGGACTCACTGAGTGACTCCTTGGATAAAGTATTATCCAGTGTTAATCTGACACTATTCTACGTCGCGAATACTGGATCTAACATAACGTGACTAGTTTTATTGTCGTATTAAGGTATTATCGTAGCATACTTGACAAAAATATTCTAAACCAACTGTGATACTGAATTCATATGAAGGTATCTGAAAGATATTTGCTGTTCGATGTCGTCAATTGTTCACATGACAAATGAAAAAACTGAAGATATCTTACGAAACAAACTTAACAAAAAAAATAAAACTAAGAGAGATTAATGGACCAAATACATAGCATTTAAAATTACTTTCTAAATCCATGACTGGGTTTACTTCAAGTTAGTTTTAAACAGGATGACCTAATTTATTTATTCATTTATTTCAACACAAATATTAGAACAAGGAGGAACCTAATATATATGGGCCATACAAGTCACAGAGCTTTCAGTGGAATATTATCAATATGAGTTGCCAAATAATTAAAAGTCCAAGAAACATGAAGAGTGATTTCAATGTGATGTGTATAATCAATATTTGATAAAAATGAGCGTAAAATACGATTTCATGATAGAATATAATTATAACCAACCAATAGAAATCACCTTCATGAGCAGACTTTACATGTTCGTTTAGATTGGATTTACAATTAAACTTTCTATCACATTGCTTACAAGTAAGTTTTATTCCTAATGAGAGAGAAAAAAACAAAACAATAATTAACAAAATATATACTTATACAAATTCGATATCAATATTCAGGGTAATTAGTTTTCATTAACTCAGGTGGTTGACACATGTATTATGTATGCTCGAAAGCTCCTACTTCGATGGACGATGTTGCACGGTGTAAAAGTAAGCTGAAAGATATGGCATGACACACGTAAACGAATCAGCCCATGAGGTCATTACCAAATGGATTTAGCCATGTACGTAGGTGTAGACTATTTGCTCGTGGTATGAAAGATTACCGAAACCAGTGGTTGCGCAGACATCGATTAGAATCGATCATAATGGCTTTATGAATAGCTTTCACGTGGTTATTCACCATACATTTAGACGAAAACGTTTTACTACATTGATCACATGGATACTTTATTCCTAATGAAAAAAAAACAAGTATGAATACTGATAAATTCTTACAAAACAAATTAACAAAGGAATAAATGTGGTTATGTACTAAGGGTTGGAAGTATACATATCATCCTAGATATACATAACCATTTCAAAAGAGAAAAGGATAAGAAAAAAAGAACAATCATTCTCTTAGAAGACCTTGAACTATAATTATGGCATGAACAGTGAAAACAATCACCGTGATGAATTGATTTTATGTGTCTAGTTAGTTGGGATTTCGTAGTGAAGTTCCTGTCCCATTCATCACATGAAAGATTAATAACACAAAGATTTCTCAAAATATAATTAATCATTGAAGACAATAATACCAGTAAAAAGTAAAAGGTTTTTGGGACCTCATATTATGTGAACAAATCAAAAGATGTTAAGAGGTATTCATCAGCGACTAAACAGTCAAAAAACTTATTGTAGAGACTTAATGAGAAGGTATGTTGCACACAACATCATAATTACCACAATGCCCTCAAATGTCCTGGCACGACCGAGGGTGGGGAGAGTCCGCTCTCCCTCTCGAAATTCTCACATGGACACGCGTATACAGCTACTACCACGGAAGTCCTATTCACTGCCTTCTTGCGAACGGGTGTTGTTTACGAAATTGACAGGACGAACAGCGAATGCCTTTCGCTTTGACTCGGGGTGTGGCCTCCCAAGTAGACCACCTTCTTCGGTCTGGGTACCCGGGCAGCATCATAGCCCTCAAGCAAATCTCATTTGATTTGTGTGGAGCATAGTTATTTGGTGCCTCCTTGTATCAATATTTATTTGTTCAAATAAAGTAAAAAATAATTACCACTACAACTCACCGTCATGAATAACTTTCTTGTGTTCAATTAAACGGAATTTACTTGAAAACTTTCTGTCACATTGAATACAAGAATATTTCATTTCTAAAGAGAAAAGAAACAATAATTAAGATTATTAAATGTACTTATGAAGTTTTGCAAACCAATCATGACTGAGTCAACATTAGAGATCTATTATCACATGTGTGTGAATTGTGATACTATCTAGACGCCAAAACTAAAATAAGTGATTTTGTTAGGTCGATTACTATCGGGACATATGACCTTAAGATCTAATCCACGTTAACACATCCAGTTCCCCGGGTAGCCAGTGACCAGAATCAATTTGTACACCATACATTCATTGAAGAAACTACAGCTCATAGTACAGCATTCCTTTCCAATCAGTTTTTCAACTGCTCAACGTCGACCCTCAGTATCCACAGACCCGGTTAGAACATTGGACGTTCGCATTCCGTTTCCTCATAAAAGCATCCAAACCATATACTTTTAGTCTGAAGAACAAGTTTAGGTGGTTAAATTACAATCACAGAGGAATTGAACTACATAATAAACTGACTTTCTGATACCAGGTCTCTATTTGTTAACTGATTTTTAAACCGGTCCGTTTTATTGTAAATCCATGTGCATCTATAAGTTGTGCAACATCAAAAAAGGTCGGTTGTTTATGTATTACATCGAAATTTACTGATATTAGTACTTGATAAAATGAGTGCGTGTTTTTCATTCAGTCGCTAAATGACGTTTCTCAACCAGTGGATCAGATAAACAGAATCAATCAATATCAAATCACTGAGATTTCTAATTATTCGACTTTTTATGTAGAAAGTACCCCAAGTCACAATATGCCGAAAACAAAATAGCAACTGTAGTATATAAAGTGAACTAATACCCATTTTCTTCATTGAGATCGTGATAGCTTGGTTTTTATTATTTTTTGTGTCCATCACCATGAACCTTGACCACCCCCTTTTGAAAAAGAAGGAAGTCAAGATACAACACTCACTACCGCCAACTCTTTATTTAAAAAAATTTAGTGTCATTTTGAGACACATATTGTATCTTACCGTTTACTATAGAGAAAATTAACAGCATTTGGTTTAAATCTTCAAAAGAATGGAAGTGAGGTATAATGATGTAGACGAACTGTTTTTTATAAGGAAAATTTATTCATCATTTAGTGAATAAGAAATGAACACTGGAAAAATGAGTATTAAAATGAAAACAGACAGGTGGAAACAAATGCAATTTATTCTAAGCATACAATCTAGTGTGATACCATCTATCATTGCAAGGTTCGGTTTATAAAACCCAAAACCTGACTTCGAAAGAACGAAGTATGAGTCAACAACATTTAGTCTGTGGCAACATTGAAACAAAAAAACGATCACAACTTATTAAGTGTAAAAAGCAAACAAATAACAAGAAATGTGTTACCTACTTTTGTGAATGCTTTTAATGTGACGGTCCCGTCCAGTAACTGTTGAAAACGTCTTGTTGCAAAAACCACATGACGGTTTCACTCCTGTAAATATTAAGAATTAATTGAGGAAATCCATTGTAAGAACAATGGGCGATTTGAAAGAACAGTAAAAAGAAAATCTCCTACAGTCAAGATTACTACCGAGGTAAATTATCAAACTATTTTTTGACGTGTATTAGAGAGATTAATAACATACAAATAAAAATAAATATGTATCTTAATGAGCATATCAGTTGTCATAGTTTACAACTAGACGAATGAACTCTGTAAACTTTCTACATTACATCAGATTCAGTAATCAACAATTCACACATTAACAGTTCTATTCAGTAATGAACACTGTAAATTCAATGTGAAGAATATTTTCAAAGGATGAACAAATTACAATTTAGTTAGTGTATACCTACCCTTTTCAGAATCTTGAACTGATGAAATTCGATGTCGCTTAACAGTTGTACCACAATTAATACGGTTATGAACATTAACAACGTGACCATCATTAGAGTTGTATTTATCTATGAAAGTGGATCATACAATATTATATTTATGTTACTAAATAATTCAATAACGTAATAATCAGATTTGTAAAATTCATTTGAGGAAAAAAGGTAAACAGAAATAAATCTATCCATGATGTGAACCATTAAAACCATAGATGATGAAACTAATATATATATATATATATATATATATATATATATATATATACCAACAGAAAGGATACAGATGGCTTCTAAATACGGTTCAGTCAATATATTTATCCAACATACAGATCATTAAGACTGTTGTAAAAATTAAAATCAAGATAAATCTACTGACAGATTCATTTTTCATTAGATATAACTTATCAAAGATTTTGAATGATCAACATTGAATACATTTAGAATGGTTGGAAGAAAGTTAGGGGCGGCCAAACCAAAACGTGGCATCAGTGCTTGAAGTCACTAACTTCTAGTCTGAGCCATGTTGGTAGATGCAGACTACTTGGTTGGGGTCCGCGTGACTATCGTAAACAATGGTTGGAGACTCTTGGTGACATGGCTCAGAATCGATCACAATGGCGTCGGTGTATACACACCCTGTCTTCCCTTAAACTAAGAGATTAAAATCGCTTAATATCTTTCTTTCTACGAACCAATTCTTTCTTCTTGTACTATATCTCTATATGCAATCTTTCTCTTATATATTACCACCTTTTACCTAACCACTGTTATGAATCCGGTTTTCATCTTGTTGTGCTGATGCGGTATGGCAACCTGGACCGATGCACATATGTGCCTAGTCCTACGTTGTAGCTGACTGACTGACTGATACAGGTAAAGAATTAAAATACCTTAGTAAAATAGTTTTAAGATCAAATCTTTTCAGAGGATTTTATTAGAAAAACCAGTCAAGTATTATATTTATATTTGATTGATCGGAGCAGCTTTACACTATATTCCCAAAGTGAACAGAATGGAAGAAATGAGCGAAATTGTTTCAGTCGTTCAAAAGTTATGGTCAAAAGTGTCTTCACAAAATTCATGGTCTCGGGTATTTCCGTAGGATTTTGTCACAGTTAATTTCATATTGCTGAATTAACTTTTGAATGACTGAATAGATTTCGCCCATTCTTGATGTATTTTATGCTGAATTGCAAATATTGTTGTTTCTAAACCAATTTTTCATCTATCCAGAACTCAGAATCAATCGAGCAGCAGTGTACAATCTTAACTTATTCAAACCCCCAAAACATGTATAGGTATCTTGATATAATTATATATATAATTCAACAAATTATTGAAAGTAATAAACTGTAATAACACTTACGTTTAAAACTATCATCCAAATACAAAGATTGATTATCTCGTAAAATTTCCAACTTATTATCTATTAGGCTGTCATCCATAACGTTATCACAATTACATTCTTCCGCTAAAAACAAATACATCGATAAGAATGCAGCATATATAGTCAAACGATAGATAATATACTCAATAACGTAACTGTTATCTATAATTGAAGATGGATTTATTACTAATAATGAGCGTTCACTGAACGGTGTGTAGCCAATAACATGTTTTTCTCATCTGTTAGTAATGATCATCTTTACAATGTACCTACTAGCTTTAACCACGACTTACAAGTTCACTATGTTCTGATGTTAGTTGATTGCACGAAATCGTTAAGAAACCATGAAACAGACTCTTGTGTGAATTGCCACTCGACATCTGTAAGATTTACCTGTACATTCTTGGTGGGACTGGTGTTTCCTGTTGTACTCTAGCCCAGATCAATCAGTGTCACAGTGACAGATACCACTACTACTGAGCCATTCTAGTCGCAACTAAGGAGCATCATACGGCACGAGACTCAAGCCTAGAGTTCCTTGGTGATTCCCTTTAATCACTTAATATTAGGATTTACTATGCAATGTGTTATTCCCTACCTCACTTATTTTAACCCACTCCGTTTTTAGTGTTTTGTTAATATTCATGCAACTATTCCTACCCTTTTATCTCCGAATTGAGGTTCACATTAAGTGTCAGACATACTAGAATATGTTGTCCACCTAGCACAAACATGCACTAGGTCACTTCACAGCATTACACTAGCTTACTGTGATGAAGTTAATGAGGTAAACGGCAAATGAGATGGCTGTAATGTTGATCACAATATAACAAGTAAAAATGTGTGGGTGACGTTCAAATACCCACAAAACAACAAGATAACAATAATAATTCTGATATGTGGTATTTAAAGTAAATTATGATTGGACAGACAGGCACTTAGCCTACTGACTATTCAATATGATTTTCTTTCCTCTAACTGAATTATACTCCGGACTCACTGAGTGACTCCTTGGATAAAGTATTATCCAGTGTTAATCTGACACTATTCTACGTCGCGAATACTGGATCTAACATAACGTGACTAGTTTTATTGTCGTATTAAGGTATTATCGTAGCATACTTGACAAAAATATTCTAAACAACTGTGATACTGAATTCATATGAAGGTATCTGAAAGATACTTGCTGTTCGATGTCGTCAATTGTTCACATGACAAATGAAAAAACTGAAGATATCTTACGAAACAAACTTAACAAAAAAAATAAAACTAATAGAGATTAATGGACCAAATACATAGCATTTAAAATTACTTTCCAAATCCATGACTGGGTCTACTTCAAGTTAGTTTTAAACAGGATGACCTATTTTTATTCATTTATTTTAACACAAATAATGGTACGAGGCACCAAATACATATGTGCCATACAAGTCACTTGATTTGTGTGTGGGCTATTATACAACCCGGGTGCCCAAACCGAAACAGGTGGTTTTCTTAGGGAGCCACAGCCGGAGCCTTCAACATAAAGGTCTGATCCACAAGGCATTAGAACATCGTGAAGAGATGCAGTCCGATGGTAGCCGGTGACCAATGATTGGTTCATACGCCATTTATTTCTTCAGGATACTGAAGCTCATGTGTACCATTTTTTTGGAATCACGGTTCTCCAACTCCCCTAGGTGGACTCTCCATGTCCACCAACCCGGTTAAGGCGCCGGATATTCGCTTTTCGTCGTGTCAATTTCGTAAACAACACCCCGGCCACGAGAAGGCAGCGAGTAGGACTTCTGTGGTAGTGGCTGTATACGCGTGGCTATATGATAATTTCGAGAGGGAGAGCGGACTCTCGCCACTGTCGGTCGTACCAGGGCATTTGGGGGCAGGACGATCTGTGTATGGATTAAGAAACCCCTTTAAATTTACTGACGTAAGTACTTATCAACGAGTTGCTATACACTTTGGTAGTTTTTTTCTAACTCAACAAACTTGTTTAAAGCTGTTGACGTTAAATGTAAATCATTGTTACTGACCTTGACTCATACATTTTGCACAGTAGGGTTGAACAGTGAGCGGTGGTTAGTAGTTCTAAGTTAATGGACTTTCGGATATGAACAGACTGACATAAAAGTGCATCATGACTTTTGAAAAGCCCACGGATGACGGATCATGTAACACAAATTATGACTGCTTACGTAACAAGCATCAGTATATTTCTCTCAAACATTTTCTATGTATACGTATACGTTTCTTACAACGTGTTGATGGATAAATCCGTTGCACTAGTATGAAGGTAATCACCTACCTTTTATGTAGTTTCCAAGCCCAATGTTTAAATCATTTGATATGAATTCATTTGATGATTCGCAGATCACACCATCCAACCCCATTGGTTGTTCAACCTTACAAGTAATTCCAAAACAGAAGTCAGGCACAGGTATTTCCATTTTACTTCAATGCTCAGACATTGGAAAGTTTATAGCAACTGAAACAAGTGACAAGGAATCTTTCAAAAAGATCCAAGTACCAGAAAGTAAATCAAATTCCTAACAAAACACCTATATATTTTAGAATACATTAATACAAATAAGAACTGAAATAAATATACGCCGCACAAGTAATACAATAAAATTGTAAACAGATGGTATTAGCATGACTGAGAATTCACCAAATTATGTTTCAAATAGGATTATATTTCAGTGCATCAGTTGATCCATTTTCAGTCACTATTAGCGGAGAAGCTGCGAAATTCGCAGAATTTTTCCATGTAAAACTTATATATGTAATTTAGTCAGCTACAAAGTCGAACCTGGTACGTATGCACACAGGTTTAAGTTGCTATACCCATATATATGAATATATTTTCTAAATATATTGACCATTTACTGTTTACTGTGGAATATATCTACGTTTCTTTTCATTTTTGATCTGGGAATTAGTCGAGTGTAGTGAAGCGTCCAAAAAGATTAGTCACTAGGACGGATGAGACAACGAATGGGTAAACAAATGATGAAAAAAGTAAACAAGAATGGATTATAATAGTAGTTATGACAAAAATACAATTAGGTAGAATTCTTTCAGTTAAAAGAACTCTTTTCATTTTCACGAAAGATGTAGAAAAAACTACAGCAGGACCACCACTAACTTTAACTCTGAGCCACACTTGATAACGTCTCAAGCCACTGAGCTACGCCACTTTGAAGACCCCAACCAAAACGTCGTGATGAAACGACCTACACGGTTCTTTTAATACCACGGTAAAATTTTATAAAACTGGGTTCATTGTAGTTCCATATTCCATGATAACTACAACTAATTTATTTGCATACTATTAACAACAATAAGGGAAAACTACCCAGAACGAATTTCGAAATTCGTGATCACGATAGTACTAACAGGATGTTAGGTTTATCGAAGCGTCCGAGTCACCCGATTGAGATACGCGTAAAACCGAAGTTTCCAAAACTACTATTCGTTTACAATAGCGGTTCTTTATTAAATAATACACTAAATTTAGTTACAAACCTCAACCTGTGAGATGTCTAGGCTCTTAAACGCGTCCTTCAAAAATGAAAATAACAAAGGCTTCCTGTAAGAGTAACATGAAGAATAATTATAGCATACGATAATACAAAGGACAGCTGACAGCTGTTTCTAAATTTGATAACAGTTTACGAACAACCGAAACCCGAACCAACCAATTTGGTAACCGATGCGTTTAAACAAATGCACAAAACTGTGGATAACAGTTACAGCAATTAAGATACAGTAATTATAATTATAAATACAATGATAAGTACAATGAAAGTCATAAGTATGTGTAAACATTTCAGAATATTACAGTACAACTTGCGTTACAACATAAGTGAAAATTGTTGGGTGAATTTATTCGCAACTCAACCCTGTAAACTTAATGTGTCGCCCAGGGTCATCTGTGCGTGACTACAGATTTTGTCATTTCATAATGTATTTTTAATTAAATAACTAGATTATGTTGTTAATTTTGCTCTATTTTTAATTTTTATTCGCCACGTCCGGCTGCGTTACACTGTACATTCATTGCACGCTGGGGTGATATTCCAAGTCGTAGTGAGTTTAATCTCATAGTTGATTGTTTCCAGATAGACCGTCAGTGCATAATGTTACTGAAAGAAGGTTTGTTGTACTGTAAACTACTTTTTTCTGAACAATTGTCTGTTGTCTTCAGTCTGAAAGCTATATATATATCCTTTGTCTTCTGTTAGGTACGTCCGACTTTCCTATATTTCGTGTTTTGGTTTTATCGGCTGAATTATGTTCATTTAACGGCTTTGAGCAACATGTCTGTGCAAATGGAACAATAATTATGACACTTGCTTAGTTTAGTATTCTTGGTTGTCGTACAATTCAGTTTAGTCGAAAGAATTATGGTATGTTTAAGTATTTTGCTTGAAGCCTGTAACGAAACAGATCAGTTTAGTAAGTAGAGCTGACTGTTTCTAATGAGTATACTGATTCAGATCACTCTGATTAAAAATAAGAAAAAATGTCTTTGGTACTGTTGCTGTCATACATTATTTGATAGCTTTAAGTGTGTTTGGTGTTTATTACTAGACTGTACGTCTATCACTGACCATATTTCCAGATCACTGTGATTAAACGATTTCCGAAGCAATAACATAGAATAGATAAGAGTCTGAGCTTTTAGTTGTACGCAAAACAGCAGTATACAGTCATAGAAGATGAGCGTTCTGTGTCTCAATGAAATGCAGCTGGCTGCGGACAAATGTTAAGAATCTTTTTAACAACTGAGAATTTTAGTTCATCAGACACTAAATCGGCTTGTGTGTCTTCCCGTTAAACTAGACGCAGATGCATGGGAATATCTTGAAGATGGCACAGGTATTCAGTGTTTGAAAACGCTTTTACCGGTAACACCTAATATAAGTCGTACCCACCAAGAGAAATCAAAAAACAGAGTCGAGGAGATCGGAAGAATGCATTTGCTGATAGCCAATATATCGGAATTCTGTGATCTAATCTGGCTCGCGATTGCGGTAGATGTTGAGCACAGCGTTACCACACGTGATCTGGTGCGGATGCATGACCGAGCACCTTCAGCTAGATGAGTCCACTAAAACATATGGTCAGCATCCAATGTCGAAAACTTACAGAGCTATTTATTTTGAGCATTTATTTACCGCCACAAATCGCTCCCCCCTAGTGGGGCAGTGATGACCCTAAGACGTGGTCGTTTGTCGTTGATAAACACTCTTCTGATAGCTTGCTAGGTTTAGCAGCGTCTGGTCGTCTTTCCTTATTAGAAGGGACGATGAAGTACAACATAGTAAAAATAGAAAAAGTACAATGAAAATTTCGGCTCCTCGTAAACTTCATCGTTCTTTTCAAGCCTTTCTGTAAAAGAAAACAGAAAATGTACGTGCATGTCGAAATACACTCGTTTGTGCGTAAAAACACAATGTCGGCGAAAAAAAGGAAAATAAACTCATGCATACGTAATTGCGCTAAAAAATTTATAATGTTCTTTTTAAATAAAAATAAAAATATATAAGCATATTAAAAATTTTTTAAAAATATTATATATCATAAAGAGAAAGATCGAGATAATATAAAATGTCGAGTAGCGCCTTACGTGTAATAGTCGTTTAAAAGTTATGAAAATCTTACTCTTCTTCCAGAACGCATCGTTTTAAGTTTTTTTCAGATATATTCGTAGTATCATCGCGTGTGTTGGTTGTCGGTTGAGGAATTATGAGTGTAGGAGTCGTGTTGTGCGATTGTACTGAAGGAAGATCGACGTGAATAGGATTTCCTTCTAAAATACGCTGCTTTTAAGTGATCAATGCTGATGCTATCGTTGGTTCCGTTCTTATCGATTATATAATACTTAGATTCACGTTAAAGAACTTTGAAAAGTCCTTCGTATGCTGATTCGAATGGTCGTCGATGCGAGTCTCGACGAACGGAAACGTGTGTACAATATCGTAAGACAGGTTGAACGAAAACATCAGTTGACTGAGGTCGAGTGGAAGCAGGTTTAACTGAACGCATTGAGTTTGTAAACCTGTATTATTAGCTGACTTGATCTAATATTCATGAACCCAAGGTAAATCACAACTGCACAAATTCTTTGATAAAAAGCATGAAATCTAGTTATTTATCTATTCCACATTCCTGACTAAATTGATTACTATTTTTTCTTTTAGAATACGATAGGAGTGAAGCTTCACAGATCCTAAAGACTCAACTTACAGCAAATTGTAAAAGGAATGCTGGACGTCCATTCTAGTCTCACAACCACTCCCAGGATTTTTTTTCAGTTACTTCTTTTACCCTTTCGTTTGGGAAAAAAAAACAATGACTGCAGTTCAACATTACCAATGCAACTTTTAGACGGGAACTTGGTTTAAACCTTTGTTTGATATTCGATTTTTGAGGAAAGTTCCTGAATAAATTTTTAAAACTAATGTTACTTTGTTTTGTCTACCAAATCGCTGCAAGAAACTTGTGATACACGAGCCTCTCAGCACCTAGTTCATATGTAGCAAATCTAAGTGATTTAGTAAATATCTTCGTCATTTTCTTGGGAAACTTACAAACCCGGGTGCTCCCATAATGTATTCTACCCACCACGAGTTGTCTCGGCAGCTGATGGATGGACACGCGTTACACATCCTAACCGTACCTGCGTCTAGTCTCATAGCTACTTATTCAAATGCCATATGATAAGCAAGCAATGCCTATACCCACACTAATGGAACATCAGCAAATCAAGAGTGGCAAAGCAGTAGGACCGGATAACATTCCATCAGAGGCACTAAAAGCAGACATAGCGGCAACTGCAAGGATACTACACATTCTCTTCAATAAGATTTGGGATGAGGAACAAGTACCAACTGATTGGAAAGAAGGACTTCTGATCAAAATACCGAAGAAAGGCGATCTCAGCAACTGTGATAACTACAGGGACATCACTCTTCTCTCAATACCAGGAAAAGTCTTCAACAGGGTATTGGTATACAGAATGAAGGACTGTGTAGACGCCCAACTTTGTGACCAACAGGCAGGATTCCGTAAGGATAGATCGTGTTCAGACCAAATCGCAACTCTACGGATCACTGTGGAACAATCAATCGAATGGAATTCATCACTCTACATCAACTTCATTGACTACGAAAAAACATTTGACAGCGTGGACAGGACAACACTATGGAAACTTCTTCTACATGACGGCGTGCCTCAGAAGATAGTCAATATCATACAGAATTCATATGATGGATTAAACTACAAAATCGTGCATGGAGGACAGATGACAGTTGTCGTTCGAAGTGAAATTCGGTGTCAGGCAAGGTTGCTTACTCTCACCCTTTCTCTTTCTCCTGGTGATCGACTGGATCATGGATACGTCAACATCTGAAGGGAAAAACGAGATACAATCGACATCTAG